GCTGACGCGCAGGAGTGAACTGGTGTACTCCCCCATCCTGTAGGTCAGCACCACTCAGAAGGTTCGTCGAGAACGAGGGGAGATAGAGACCAGACAGGGTGCCAGAGGGAGCCGCCGGACACGGGAGGACTGTGGAGAAGCGAGACAGCACGGGACCCCCGGAGGGGTCAGCCAGAGACACCGCAACCGGCCGACTAAGCGGCGTGAGTGTGGTGCGGTCCCGAAAGAAGGAGCGAGACGCCCCAGAGTCAAGAGTGAAGGTGAGGGAGGCCGAAGCCGGCGTAGTACCTGAGAGCGCAGACTCACCAGTACCTGAGGACGCAGACACACTAGCACCTAGAGCAGCAGCGTCGCAAGCACCTAGGGCAGCAGCCTCAATGCCCGGATCGGGCGGGAAACAGCGGTAGCAGTCACCCTCATCACTATGAGACACAGCATACATGGCAGAGATAATAGCATCAAAGTCAAGATCAAAGATGGCAACACCCGCCCTAGACAGCTCGCCCCAGCGAGGAATCTCTGAGGCCTCCGGGAACTGGTGACGCCACGCGTCCGTCAGGCGGCCAAAGCAGCGCTGGGTGGGGTGCGGACCCCCACACTGCTCACCCGCACGGTCGCCGGTGCGCAAGACGTAGGTGCACGGACCAAAACCCCCACCCCGCTGGCGTGCAGTGTACCACTCACGGAGCTGCTGAGGGGACAGGGTCTCACGACCGCGCTGCTGCTGCTGGCGCGCGCCACTACCGGAGCCACTCTTCTGCGAAGGCCCGCGACCAGCTCCACCGCCACCCCCACCGCCTCCGCCGCCTCCGCTACTGCCGCCGCCTCCACCGCCGCCTCCACCGCCGCCTCCACTGCCGCCTCCTCCGCCACCTCCGCTCCCACCGCCACCGCCGCCGCCGCCTCCGCCTCCACCGCCGCCACCGACCCCCCCACCCGCACCTCCACTCCCACCGCCACCCCCACTACCCCCACCGCCTCCACCTCCACCTCCACCGCCCGCTCCTCCAGCTCCCTTGCCCCCCTTGCCCTTGCCAGGGCGACGTCTCCCGCTAGGGGCAGACGCCGCACCGACCGACTCAAGACCAAGGAGGTCGGCCGTAGCAGCAGAGGCAACAGAGGGCAGCAGGGGGGAGGGGGAACACCCCTCAAAGATGGGTGTGCGCGGGTCACCTCGAGAGGCTCCTACAGCGACTATACTCTTCTCCGCTGCTAAGAGGGCCTTCTCGAGGAGATCGACAGTGAGTGTGGTGGGACAGACTGAGAGAAAGTGGTCCCTGACTACACGAAGGGAGTCAGGAAGGCGAGTGACTAGGAAGTACAGAGTGATGTACATGGGGGGGGGGGGGGGGTTCTTGGCGCAGAAGTCAGCAGGGAGTGCAGCGCGGTAGCGAGTGTCACTAGTGCGGAGGTGCGTAATGAGGTCAGCCACGGTGGGAAAGGCAGCAAGGTCAGGGAAGAGGTATGGTAGCATGAGACGGCTCAGTGTAGTAGTGGCAGGGGAGGAGTAGCGCGCGACTACAGCGTCGTACAAGGTCTGAGCACTCTTGTACTGACTAAAGTGCGCACGCTCGGAGGTAGGGAGGTGGCGACGCACAGCAAGACGTGCAGGAGCGTCGCGCGTGGCCCACTGGGAGCGAACAGTGGCGTCAGCATCAGCAGCAGGGGCAGGGGAAGCGCCAGAGGTAAGGTCAAAGAGAGAGAGGCCGTCTACCCTATTGCACTGTAAGAACAGCTGCAGGTCGTCTACCCAGACCTCAAAGTCAATGGCCCGAACCTCAGCGTCAAAAGCGAGGACACTAGGGGTAGCCATGACGACAGTAGCCTAGCAGTACTACCCGTAGGACAGGGGCAGTGCAGTGACAGGAGCGCTGCTCTCACCAGACAGGGCAGGTCGGGCAGCTCAGCAGCACAGCAACGCGGCTGCTCGGACGGCTCAGCAGCAACTCCGGTTCGGACGGCTCGGGCGGCTCAGCTCCACAGCGGCTCAGGCGGCTCGGGCGGCTCGGGCGGGTCGGGCAGCTCGGCTCCTCAGCGGCTCAGGGGGCTCGGGCGACTAGGGCGGCTCGGGCGGCTCGGGCGGCTCGGGCGGGTCGGGCAGGTCGGGCAGCTCGGGCGGCTCGGGCGGCTCGGGCGGGTCGGGCAGCTCGGGTGGCGGGGGCAGTGTAGGGCCGTAGGGCCGCTTGTAGGGCTCGGGGCCGCAGCGAGAGGGGCGGCGGGGCCGCAGAGACGGGCGGCGGGGCCGCAGTGAGAGGCGGCGGGGCCGCAGCTAGAGAGGCGGCAGGGCCGCGGAGACGGGCGGCGGGGCCGCAGAGACGGGCGGCGGGGCCGAAGTGAGAGGCGGCGGGGCCGCGAAGACGGGCGGCGGGGCCGCAGTGAGAGGCGGCGGGGCCGCAGCGAGAGAGGCGGCGGGGCCGCGAAGACGGGCGGCGGGGCCGCTGAAACGGGCGACGGGGCCGCAGGGAGAGGCGGCGGGGCCGCAGCTAGAGAGGCGGCGGGGCCGCGGAGACGGGCGGCGGGGCCGTAGAGACGGGCGGCGGGGCCGAAGTGAGAGGCGGCGGGGCCGCAGCGAGAGAGGCGGCGGGGCCGCGAAGACGGGCGGCGGGGCCGCTGAGACGGGCGGCGGGGCCGCAGTGAGAGGCACCGGGGCCGCAGCGAGAGAGGCGGCGGGGCCGCGAAGACGGGCGGCTGGGCCGTTGAGACGGGTGGCGGGGCCGCCGTGAAGGGCGGCGGGGCCGCAACGAGAGAGGCGGCGGGGCCGCAGAAAAGGGCGGCGAGGCCGCTGAGACAGGCGGCGGGGCCGCAGTGAAGGGCCGCTAGGGCGGCTCGACGAAGTGAGGGCCCGGAGCGCGACTCGGGCTGAGCGCGCTTCGGGCAGGAAAAAAAAACTCGATGTGGTGGGCCCTAAGCACAGTTCCCAAGGGGGAATCTGCTCGATACCATGAGAAGATTAGAACGAGAATGATGTGAACTATGAATGAAGCGAGTACAAATATGAAACCCTAGTTGGGTTGTACCCCCTATGGGATACCCCACTATAGCCTACACAATGGCATAAGCTATAATGTTCTAACAAAGCACTACGCCAAACTGTAGACCAAGCTGCCGAAATGTTGCCCTTCTCCCAAGATAAACTAAGGTCATGGCAACACAGGTCTCGATAGGCACAACACGCCGCCTATCACCATTTCGACTAATCCATGCGTCCACAAGGTAGTCAAAAACACGTCAATTCACCCCAAAAAGTTTCGGTGAAAAGCTGCCGCGGCATGGTGTTAAGGAGAGCGTCCCAACGCTCTCTTTGGTTCTCATGGTCCTCCTGTATGACATTAAGATCGTCATTGTCTAGAAGAGCTATCATATCGACGAGGTTGTCAAAGGCGGGACGCACGATGATCTCCTAGTACCCTCTGTATAATAGGTGAAGTACAGAGAGTAGGAGACTGCAAGACATGGTTTGTGTCTTGGCCATTTTTATGTTCTGCAATTGTGTCTCTGTTCCATGACTTGTCTATCTCAATTGTGATGGTTGATTTGGCTTGAATGTTTTCAATGTTTGAAATCGAGACGCGATGTACGTGGGCGAATTTGACGAGTGCTAGACAATTGGGTTACGTGAGTACTGTCAAATTATAATCATATGTTGTTAGCTCTGCTAGGCTACAATGAGGTGCTTAGTATAGAGTACAACCCCAATTAGGGTTTCATACTTGTATCACCTTGTTGCTAGTTCAATCTCATTCCTGCAGTGTTAACTCTCGACATGGTTTCAATGCATGTTAACGGTTAGTTTTTTTTTAGGGCCCACCGAACGTTCCGCTCGTCCCTGCCCGAAGCACTCTTGCGCTGCCCTGCAGTGCCCGAACAGCGTCGCGCTGCCCTACTGCTGTCAAACTTATATGCTATAGTCTGTTTAGGCTGTAGTGGGGTAGACTATATGGGGTACAACATTTCTAGGTTTTCCTACTTATACCCACCTCTTTCCTAGTTCATTCACTCCTCATTTCTTCACATGGTAAAGAGCAGGTTCCCTAGTGGGAACGCTTCCTTGGGCCCACCACTGGAATTTATTTTTCTGACCGGAGCGTCAGTTGCTCTTGCCCGAGGCGCTCCTTGTTCGCCGCCCTTCCAGGCCCCTAGCGGCCTCGTCGCCGCCCCTACGCGGCCCCGTCGCCGCCCCTAGCGGCCCCGTTGCTGCCCCTAGCGGCCCCGTCGCCGCCTCTCTCCCTACGCGGCCCGGTCACCGCCCCTACGCGGCCCCGACGCCGTCCCTACGCGACCCAATCGCCGCCGCTACGCGGCCCTGTCGCCGCCCCTAGCGGCCCCGTCGCCGCCCCTAGCGGCCCCGTCGCCGCTACCCTTCCTACGCGGCCCCGTCGCCGCCACTACGCGGCCCCGTCGCCGCCCCTACGCGGCCCCGTCGCCGCTCCCCTCCGTACGCGGCCCCGTAGCCGCCCCTAGTGGCCTCGTCGCCGCCCCTACGCGGCCCTCTCGCCGCCCCTAGCGGCCCCGTCGCCGCCCCTAGCGGCCCCGTCGCCACTCCCCTTCCAACGCGGCCCCGACGCCGCCACTACACGGACTCGTCGCCGCCTCTACGCGACCCCGTAGCCGCCCCTAGTGGCCCCGTCACCGCACCCCTCCCTACGCGGCCCCGTCGCCGCCCCTAGCGGCCCCATCGCCGCCTCTGCCGGCCCCGTCGCCACCTCTACCGAGCAGCCCAGCAGCTGAGCCGCCCAACAGCAGAGCCGCCGAGCCGCCCAGCAGCCGAGCCGCCGAGCCGCCCGACAGCCGAGCCGCCCAACCGCCGAGCCACCAAGCCACCCAGCAGCCGAGCCGCCGAGCCGCCTGACAGCCAAGCCGCCCAGCAGCCGAGCCGCCGAGCCGCCCAGCAGCCGAGCCGCCGAGCCGCCCTGCCGACGAGCCGCTACTGTTCCTACCGGCGCGCTCCGGCCCTACTTACTCGGACTGGTGAGATCACTCCCTGCTAGGCCACTACAGCCATGGCTCCCCCCAGTGTTCTTACCTTTGATGCTGAGGGTCGTGCTGTTGACTTTGAGGTCTGGGTCGATGACCTCCAGCTGTTCCTACAGTGCGATAGGGCAGACGGACTCTCCCTGTTCGATCTCACCTCTGGTGCCTTCCCTGCCCCGCCTGCTACTACTGACAGCACTGTTCGCTCACAGCGGGCCACATGCGATGCTGCTGCCCGTCTTGCTGTGCGTCGCCACTTACCGACCACTGAGCGTGCGCACTTTAGTCAGTACAAGAGTGCTAAGACCTTGTACGACGCTGTAGTTGCACGCTACTCTTCCCCTGCCACTGCTGCGCTGAGCCGCCTCATGCTAACGTACCTCTTCCCTGACCTTGCTGCCTTTCCCACAATCGCTGACCTCATTACGCACCTCCGCACTAGTGACACTCGCTACCGCGCTGCGCTTCCTGCTGAGTTCTGTGCCAAGAACCCCCCCCCCCCATGTACATCACCCTCTACTACATAGTCACCCGGCTCCCTGACTCCCTTCGCTTAGTCAGGAACCACTTCCTCTCAGTTTGCCCCACCACACTCACCGCTGACCTCCTCGAGGAGCGCCTCCTAGCAGCAGAGAAGAGCATAGTCGCTGTAGGAGCCTCTCGTGGTGACCCTTGCACCCCCGTCTTTGAGGGGTGTTCCCCTTCCCCCCTCTTGCCCTTTGTTGCTTCTGCTGGTGCGGCCGACCTCGTTGGTTTCGAGTCGGTCGGCGCTGCGTCTACCCCTAGCGGGAGACGCCGCACTGGCAAGGGCAAGAGGGGCAAGGGCGCTGGAGGGGCTGGCGGGGGCAGTGGAGGTGGTGGTGGAGGCAGTGGAGGGGGTGGGGGTGGTGGTGGGAGTGGTGGCGGGGGTGGAGGTGTCGGTGGCAGCCATGGAGGCGGAGGAGGCGGCGGCGGTGGCGGAGGGAGCGGAGGCGGCGGAGGTGGCGGATGCGGCGGAGGTGGCGGAGGCGGCGGCGGCAGCGGTGGAGCTGGTCGCGGCTCTGCGCAGAGGAGTGGGTCCGGTGGTGGTCCGCGCCAGCAGCAGCAGCGCAGTCGTGAGACCGTGTCCCCTCAGAAGCTTCGTAAGTGGTACGCTGCGCGTCAGCGCGGTGGGGGTACTGGTCCCTGCACCTACGTCCTCCGTACCGGCGACCGCGCTGGTGAGCAGTGCGGGGGCCCGCACTCCACCCAGCGCTGCTTCGGCCGCCTGACGGACGCCTGGCGTCACCAGTTCCCTGAGGCCTCTGAGATCCCTCGCTGGGGAGAGCTGTCTAGGGCGGGGGTTGCTATCTTTGATCTTGATTATGATGCTATTCTTGCTGCCATGTATGCTGTGTCTGATAGTGTTGAGGGTGGCTGTTACCTGTGTGTTCCGCCTGACCTGGGCATTGAGGCTGCTGCTCTAGGTGCTGGTGAGGCTGCTACTCTAGGTGCTAGTGCGTCTGCTGCCCCTGGTGCTGGTGAGTCTGCTCTCTCAAGTACTACGTCCGCTCAGGCCTTACACACCTTCACCCTTGACTCGGGTGCTTCCCGCTCCTTCTTTCGAGACCGCACCACACTTACGCCGCTTAGTCGGCCGGTTGCGGTCTCCCTGGCAGACCCCTCTGGGGGAGCCACATTGGCATGGTCATGGACGTCGCTCGTACGTCCATGATCCATGCGGCTGCCCCCCATTTTCTATGGCCGTTTGCGGTTCAGTACGCCGCGCATCAGCTCAACCTTCAGCCCCAGGTCTCCCTGCCAGAGACCTCCCCCACCTTGCGGTGGACAGGGAAGGTTGGCGATGCGTCTGCGTTTCATGTCTGGGGATCTCGGGCGTTTGTCCGCGACTTGTCTGCGGACAAGCTGTCCCCCCGTGCTGTTCCCTGTGTCTTCCTTGGCTTCCCCCCTGACGCGCCTGGGTGGCAGTTTTACCACCCACCTCGCGCCGTGTTCAGTCCTCCCAGGAAGTCACCTTTGACGAGTCGGTGCCTTACTACCGTCTCTTCCCCTACCGCACTGCGCCCCTCCCCCCGCTGCCGCTCTTCATTGCGCCAGGTCCTCCCCCTGTAGACCCCCTCCCCCCTCAGGGTCCTGCCCCGTCAGGTGTGTCCCAGGTAGACGCAGTCGAGCCTGTCGAGGTAGCTGTTGACTCTGGTGCTGCTAGAGGTGCTGAGCCTGCTGATGCCGGGTCTGAGGTGCTGAGCCTGAGGGTGCGGAGCCTGGGGATGCTGAGTCCAGGGGTGCGGAGCCTGGGGGTGCTAAGCCTGGGGGTGCTGAGTCTGGGGGTGCTGAGCCTGGGGGTGCAGAGCCTGGGGGTGCTGGGTCTGCTCGTGTGGCCTCTCGCGGTGCTTCGTCGAGGCGGGAGCCACTCTCTCCACAAGAGCTGCGCGAGTTGTTTGCCTGCCGCAGGAGCCGTGCTGCTGGAGCTGGAGGTACTACTGTTGCTGCTGGTCCCGGAGGTGCTCGTACTGGCGGTACTGGAGCTGCTGGGACTGGGGGTGCTGCTTGGGCTGCTGGAGTTGGTTCTGCTGGAGGTACTGCTGGAGCTGCTTGCGGTACTGGAGCTGCTCGTCCTGCTGGAGCTGGAGCTGCTGGAGCTGGAGCTGCTGTGGATGTTGGCGCTGGTGGTTTTGCTGGCGCTGGTGCGTCTGAGGGTGCTGGGGTTGGCGCTGTTGGAGCTGGAGGTGCTACTAGCGCTGGTGCTGCCGCTAGGAGTACTGGTGCTGTCCCTACTGGGTCTGGAGGCTCTACGCGGCCGCGGCCGTACTTCGTTCCGCTCCTTGAGCGGGATCTTGGTCTCCCGCCCTCTACTGGTCATGCTCCTCCCTTAGACTGTCCACAGCCTGTCCATTCGCAGTCACAGTTACAGCCCGCCTCCCCCCTACCTGCTCCTTCTCCCTACACTGGTCCTACTGGAGGTCTTGCTGAGCGTCGTGAGCCTGCGTCTCGTCCTGCGTCGCCTGTTTGTGGTGCTCGCACTAGTCGTCGTGCTTCGCGTCCGCGTCCTCGTGCGGTCCCAGGCACACACCTGATGGCACTCCGTCCTTCCACTACTCCTCTGCGTGTCCCGTTGCCGTCTCCTCCAGAGTCCTCTCTTCCTGCTCTTGCTGACCCGGAGTCTGACTCTCTTCGTGCTGCCAGTCCTACTGTCACGCGTCTCCTGACTACTGTTGTCACTGACCCTTCCTTTGAGTCCACTGCTGCGTCGGCCCTAGTTGCTGAGCTTGTCGACTTCGCTGCTCGCTGTCGTCTAGACTCGCTGCTAGTCTTGTTGCTGAGTCTGAGTCTGTCTGTCCTTCGTCCGTCGGGGGTGAGTGTGCTCTTAGCACGGACGTCCTTAAGGAAAGGCAGGAGGAGTTCCAGTGTTTTGCTGCTGCTTTGCCTCATCTCGTGTCCACGCTGATTGCCCCTGAGGGAGACCCGGATGCACCAGACATCCCGACTCCTCGATCGTACGCTGAGGCGATCGAGGGTCCCTACTCCTCTCAGTGGCAGTCAGCCATGGACGCAGAGATGGCTTCCTGGAAGTCCACATGCACCTACGTCGACGAGGTTCCCCCACCTGGGGCGAACATCGTCACTGGCATGTGGATTTTCAGGGTGAAGCTGCCGCTGGGTTCTCCGCCTGTCTTCAAGGCGCGTTACGTGGCTCGAGGCTTCAGTCAGCGGCAGGGAGTTGACTACTTTCAGACCTTCTCTCCCACCCCGAAGATGACCACTCTTTGGGTGCTGCTGCACATAGCCGCTCAGCGTGACTACGAGCTTCACTCTCTTGACTTCAGCACAGCTTTCCTGCAGGGCAGCCTGCACGAGGAGATCTGGCTGCGCCGCCCACCTGGCTTCACTGGGCCGTTTCCTCCTGGTACCCAGTGGAGCCTCCGGCGGCCATTCTACGGTCTCCGCCAGGCGCCCCGTGAGTGGCACGACATACTGAGGACTACACTTGCGGCTCTTGGGTTTGCTCCTTCTACAGCCGACCCATCGCTGTTTCTGCGCACCGACACCTCTTTGCCGCCGTTCTACATCCTCGTGTACGTCGACGACTTGGTCTTTGCCACTGCTGGACTCGCCCACGTGAAGTCCGAGCTGCAGAAGAGACACACGTGCACAGACCTGGGTGAACTGCGCAGCTACCTTGGCTTGCAGATCACCCGGGACAGAGCACAGGGCACCATTACCCTAACTCAGTCACACATGGTGCAGCAGGTCCTTCAGCGCTTCGACTTCACGTACTCCTCGCCTCAGGCCACTCCTCTGTCTACTCGCCACTCGCTCTCAGCTCTGCCTTCGGTTGAGTCCGTAGAGCCGAGTGGCCCGTACCCAGAGCTTGTTGGCTGCCTCATGTACCTGATGACCTGCACACGACCTGACCTTGCATACCCTCTTAGCATCTTGGCACGCTATGTTGCTCCTGGGAGACACCGACCAGAGCACATGGCTGCAGCGAAGAGGGTGTTGCTCTACTTGTGCAGTACGTCGGGCATGGGGCTAGTGCTTGGAGGGCGACGTCAAGTGGTCCTCACAGGTCACGCAGACGCTTCTTGGGCTGACGACCAGGCTACGCAGCGGTCGTCACAGGGTTACACCTTCAGCCTTGGCTCCGGCTCTGTTTCGCGGTGGTCTACCCGCTCGTCTTGTGTTCTCGGCTCTAGCTGTGAGGCTGAGATCTACTCGGGGGCCATGGCTGCACAGGAGCTACGCTGGCACACCTACCTGCTGACTGACCTAGGAGAGCCGCCTCGTTCTCCTCCAGTTCTGTTCGTAGACAACAAGGCCATGCTGGCCTTGTGTCGGGAGCACAGACTGGAGCACAGAACGAAGCACATTGCTCTTCGCTACTTCCTTGCTCGTGAGCTGCAGCAGCGTGGTCAGCTGCGCCTTGCTTACGTGGCCTCTGAGGCCAACACTGCTGATATCTTTACCAAGGCACTTCCGCCTGGTGATCATCAGCGCTTCTAAACGATGCTAGGTCTTGTGCCTACTTGGCCTCACTTGCTCACTTCTTGACCTTGCTTGTACTGTGATCTTTCTATACCTGCACTTGCCTGTTTACCTTTATATATGATCTTGCATGTGAACTGGCCTTGTGGCCTTGCTTTTGTGCTCGGATTATGTGGTGACGTTGTGATCCACCCTGAGCTTGCTTTGCTTTGCTTGACTGGTCTTGTGACCTCTTGTTCTCCCCCACTTTGCCTATGGGGGTGTGTCAAACTTATATGCTATAGTCTGTTTAGGCTGTAGTGGGGTAGACTATATGGGGTACAACATTTCTAGGTTTTCCTACTTGTACCCACCTCTTTCCTAGTTCATTCAATCCTCGTTTCTACACAACTGCCACGCACGCTCCCTCCCCTAGCGCGCTGCATGCTGCATGCATGTTTTTTGCCCGCACGCGCGCTGCTTGTCGTCCGTGCGAGTTGCCTGCCCGCTAGCGCCACCTTCCCGCGAGAGCTGCCTGCTCACTAGGGCCGCCTTTCCGCGAGCGCTACCTGCTCGTTGGCGCCGCCTACCCACTAGTGCTGCCTGCCCGCGAGCGCTGCTTGCATGCATGCGCTGCCTGCGCGCCAGTGCTGCTTGCCCGTGCCTCTACCTGCGCGAGCCCCCTGCCTGTGCGCGCGTTGCCTGCCCGCGAGCGCCCCTACCCGCACGTGCTATTGCTGCTGCATGCGCTGCTGTTGCTGTGCAGCTACTGCCAATTGTGCTGCTGCACCTGAGCTGCTGCTGCTACACACGCTACTGCGCTGTGCCCTGCCGAGCCTGAGCCGCGCCGCCCTGCCGAGCCGCGCTGCCCAGCCTGAGCCGCGCTGCCTTGCCCGAGCCGCGCTGCCCTGCCCCTACCGAGCCGCACTGCCTTGCTGCTACTGCTGCTGTTACTACTGTTGCAACTACGGCTGCTGCTGCTGCTGCTGCTGCTGCTACTTCTGCTGCTGCTGATGCTGCTGCTGCTACTACTGCCGCTACTGCTACTATGGCCACCATTTCGGTTCTTAGCTTTGATGTGGAGGGTCGCCCTATTAGCTTTGACGTTTGGCTCGACGATCTCCAGCTGTACCAGCAGAGCAAAGATAGGGATGGAGTTTCTTTGATAGAGCATACGTCCGAGTCCCTCCTCGACCCAGCTGATACAACCGACCGCTTGGATCAGTCGAAGCAGCTCACGCGTGACGCTACTGCCCGCCTCGCTGTCCGCAACCACTGATGAGAGGGCATATTTTAGCCATCAGAAGACAGCCAAAGACCTCTATGATGTCGTTATTGCTCGTTACTCCTCCCCAGCTACTGCTGCCCTATGCCGTCTTATACTGCCATACCTCTTTCCTGAGCTCGCAGATTTCCACACCGTTGCTGATCTCATGACCCACCTTCGCTCTAGTGAGACTCGCTACTGCGCCGCTCTCAAGCCGGCCTTCCTCGCTGCGGACCCCCCTCCTCCCCGTTGTATATCACCCTGTACTTCCTTGTCATTCGCCTCCCTGACTCCCTCCACATAGTTACGGACCACTTCCTCGCCCTTGACCCCACTCAGCTCATGCTTGCCTCGTTGGCGAAGTACCTTCTTGAGGCTGAGACCAATACTATCGATGTCGCTGCCTCTCGTGTCACTCCCCGCTCCCCCTCTTTTGAAGGGTCTGCTCCCTCCCCTCTCATACCCTCAGTTGTCTCTGCTGCTGCTATCGACCTCCTTGGTGCTGAAGGGGTCAGCGGCGTGTCTGCTCCTAGTGGGAAGTGCCGCAGCGGCAAAGGCAAGGGGGGTAAGGGTGGTGGGGGTGGCACTAGCGGTGGTGGTAGCAGGGGTGGTGGTGGCGGGGGCGGAGGCGGTGGAGGTGGCACCGGAGGTGGAGGCAGTGGAGGTGGCAGGGGTGGTGGAGGCGGCGGGGGTGGTGGAGGCGGCAGGGGTGGTGGAGGCGGTCGGGGTGGAGCTGGCAGGATTTGAGGCTATGGGGGTTCAGCTCATGGCGGCGGAGGCTATGTGAGTGGACAGCAGCTGCCACGCTTCCCGGATACACCCACCCGCCAGCAGCTTTGTGAGTGGGTTGTCCAGCGTGGATCCCCTAGGGCCTCTGTTCGCTGCTCGTATGTCAGGCGCACAGGGCCCAAGAAGGTTCAGACCTGCAGAA